AGCTTATAGTATAGTTAAAGAAATGGTTCAAATGTGGCAAGTCAGAGTTTTTTATAAGTTAAAAAGTTGCATTTTTGAAAAAAGTAAATACATGTACCAGATTGTCAAATACTCAAATATAGTACCCCGGACAGGTTGTATGATGCAGTCTTGTTTTTACTCTATATTTCCAATAGAACAACCATTCTCAGTGAAATTTTCATACTTTATTCATGAGACAATTTCCAACATGGAAATAATATTTTAACGAAATTCCTAATTTTATGATTTCACTAGACATCATGATAACCATGACATCTCATTTCTTTCTCAGCCCTGAAATGTTTCAGGTGAAACAGAAAGATGCTATGAGTATCAGAATGGAACAACTGAACTTTTAGCATCTTTTCAAAGATTGTCAGGCTATTGAATTTATTCTATAACTTTAGATTAGCTACCTTTATTTTAACAGTTAAAGCTTAACCCCCCTCCCTTTCCCTCTTAACTATATCTCATTCTTCCTGGGCATTTTGAAACTTGGAACTATGATTTCTGCAAGTGAATGCATAAGTTCAAATCTTTTGCTTTGCTTTCATAAATTCATAGACAGTTATGTTGTCAGACAATAACATTAACCATTCTTTGGTCAGAAGTTTGAATACACTGAAAAAACTATTGGTCAAAACAATCTTTTACTCTTGCATGTATTTGTCAACTAAGGTAGAACTCTCCTTACTTTTTGTACCATTGGGATCAATGTTAAATTGACAAATTTCAAATTAGAATTTCTCAAATCACAGCCCATTGATTTTCAAAGAATTTCAGAGAAATGCAGCAACACATCTCATCTTCATGTCAAAAAAATTCAACAAAAATATCCCACGAAATCAAAAGTTCTGCTCTCTTACATAGTAGGAGTACCAAAACGTCATCATATTTGTTTACATTGACCAATTCACCACTACCAAGGTCATCCATCCGCAGAAAATAATCTCAATGATTTTACCGTTCACTGTTATGCTCACATGTTTCCCAGTTATTCTGAGCATTATATGCCTGCAAATTAGAGTATTCTATCCAAAGATGGTGCTGTAGTATACCATTGAAGTCCCCAAACAGCTTTTTAATGGAACTACTTTCGTCATACCACGAAATAAACGAACGAGTAAGGATAGTACACTCTAATTTACTTCATTTGTATTGCAGAGCAATTTTAAAAAATCATCTATGACAATAACATGATACTCTTAAAGACATAATCTAAGATAACTGCGCAGCACTTTTATACATTATCAAAGACTATTAAACAGCACTTTGATGACATGTAGGACTATTATACAACACTTTAAAGGCATAATGTAATACTAATACAGAGCACTTTAAAAATAATCTAAGACTTGCATAGGACTCCAAAGGCATCATCTAAGACTATTGTACAGCATTTTCAAAACATCATCTTGACAATTGCATAATAGCATTTTAAAGGTATCATCTAAGGCTATTACATTGTACTTGAAATACATCACCTAAGACTATTACACAGAACTAAAAGCAAGGATTGTTTTGAATTTTAGTTTAAGATTTACCAAAACATGTTTACACTTTAGGGGTAGATCACATGATTATTGATTGAATATGTACCTATAGATGTTGGAACCAATTGAATATTGGCGATCACTGAATGGATTCTATCTTTTAGTGACGTCACAATTAGGCCACCGAGCATTAGATGCTTGATTTTGAGAGATTATCTTCTATATTTCGTGTTTTATTGATTTATTTTTCACGAAAGCGTTCGATTTGACTAGATCAACATTCATGCTAAGCACATACCAAGTCTAAGATCTTACTGACATGATTAAGATAGCGGTTAAGCGCCCCCCCCCCCCCCCCCCCCCCCGATTTTGACAAAAACGGGGGGCGCTTATAGGCGTCTATGTTTTGTATGAATTTCACCCAAACTTCGCACATATATAGATATACTCATGATCTAGTCAAATCGGCATACCTGGTAAATATCCGACCCATGGTTTTAATAAAAAAAACGACAATATTTTTATCTCAAAACTGCCACGTATCCGCAATTTCGTGATTCCATCATGTCTAATAACATTTCTATATGACGTCATACCAATAAGACGAAATATGAGACAACAGTATCCATCAACAAAATTCCTGAATTCTGATCGCAAAAGGTCAATTCCAGGCATCTTCTGGCTCAAGATGTTGGCCTTTAATTGTGATTCAGATATCATAAATAGTAGTTTCTATGAGTGTTTAAATTTATAAAGAAACTCAAGTACTCACGATTCCCGTCAACTTGTGACTTAATTATTATAAAAGTCCTGATTTTTAGAAAAATTATACCAAAAATAATGATAAACATGAAAATGTACCTTGCTGCTCTATGCACAAAACCATATAAAGTAAATTTATGAAAAACTAAAGTTTGATATCTAGTCTAGCTACGTACAAGCCTTTGGGACCCCCCCTCCCTAAAAATGTTGTGTAGGTGATGTAGATAAGGGGGGAGGTCTAGTGTTGTCGCGATGTACCATAATCGTACATTGATGTATCGGCAATTTTCATTAGTAAACATCCATGCACATCGCGATGAACATCGAGAAAAAGTCAGAGAAAAGTGCACTGAAATACCGAACGCTAATGCACTAAAATACAGAACAGAACAAATTAATATAAGAGTACGCTGGTACATCCGGGAACTTCTAGTAACGGTGAAATGAAAGTAAAGTAATTTTTTTTAGATTAATGGTTCATTTGGACTAGCTAAAACAGTTTTAAGGCGAAAGAATATCAGAAAACATTGCAAAATGAAATAAGACATGAGAAAGGTAAGCGATTTGCGTCAAAATAAGATAAGGAAGGGTGATTTTTAGCAAATTAATTTTTTTTAAAAACATTGTTGTTTCGTTTCAGACATCGATGCATCACCAGAATCAGCTTTGGCGATGTATATCGCGATGTATCGATTAATCGCGACAACACTAGGGAGGTCACAGCAAAGATAAAGGGGGAAGGTTACTGCAAGACTATTTCATATGAGAAAATTTAAAGTAATTTAGTGCGGGCTTAAAACAGGCATTGAAAATTGTGGACAGAGGTTTTAGTCAGCACAACTAGATATTTATTTGTAACCCGCATTGATTATCAAACTTTCTGACTGAATTCTCGGCAACAGTATGTTTAACTCATTGCTTAATTTTTCATCAAAATGGCCAGTCACCAGCTGAAAATCTCCAAAATACCTTTGGACAGCAATGAGTTAAAACTGAGAAAACAAATCCTCTTTTCAAACATGCACCAGAGACCTTCCTGATACCTTCATTAGAGTCTGCATTCCTTCAAATTTTGGGATCAATAATAACAAAAAAAAATTGCTCGAATTTTCAAAATATGCTTTTTGAACAATTTGAAATGTGGTGGATTTTCTATTCATTTGCCTTTTAATCATGTTCAGTAAACTTCTTTTTACTTGTAGATATTGAGCTATAATTCTCGTAAAGAAAATTAGGAGACTCTTGTACTGTCGTCAATCTTAATAGTAGACTGCAGTTAGATTACCTCATTATGACTATTGGTCAGATAATTTCTATTGTCTTTATAATTTTGTACAAATTTATCTCAATAAAATATCTTTAACAATAAAAAATGTTCATTTCTGAATAGGAAATAGTATAATTATTATGTTAAGAAGCAACTGTAATTATAAGGTGATGTTACACTAAAAAAATGAAGTTGTGCAAAACCATCATCAAGATATTATCCCTACCATTACATCTAAAACTTATTGTCTAAACATCCATTATATAATAACAATAGAAAAATTATATTCTGAATGAACATGTATGTATATTACCCACAGGGACATTACCATTGTGACCATTGTCAAGACAGAACCATTATATGCAGTAATATATAAATTTATAGCAAGATATCAATGAATTTGATTTAGAGTATATACATTATATATTGTATAATAACATAGAATATAGTTGGGAGCAAAAATAAATGACACATGGATTTTCTATCACCATTTCCTAACCATGGTCGTCTGGAAGCCCATAATTTCCAATATTGTCTCGATACATATCCCTAAAATTTGTATATTTTACATTTTGTATAATCCCACCCACTGATGTATGGCCTCTTGAAAATTCTCTTATTTTTAACATGGGAAATCCTCACTTCAGCAAATCCACCTATCATTTATTTATGTTCCAAACTTTATGTACTATTTTGTCTAATAGTTTTGTCCAATAACTATGTCAATTAAGATAAATTAACTTGCTTATTTTGAAAATACTGAAAAGGGCTTCTGAACTGGCATTATTGTTGTTATTCTTACTTAAATTAGGATGGAAACTACTTGGTCATATATAGTTGCAGAACGATTCACAAAATGTCAGATTGTCAACCAAAGATAATTTTACTGAGAGCCAGAACCAATCCACCAAAAATTGTCAACCTCACCAAACAAGAACAACAAAAAGAAATATCTCATTAAAGAGTTCCTTAATTTCAGTTCTACCAATTTTGGGTTCCTTTACATTTTTCTGTTGGTTCACTGTTGCAATTCCTCATTCCCTAAGAATGAACTGATTTTGAATATAAAATGTACCTTTGTTTAGAGAAGTGCCAATGCTATGGCCTCACCAGTATAAAAAAACCTAGAAGCTTTGCTCTCCTAAAGAGTTAAACTCCCTGTATACGCCTATAAAACATCCTACTTTAGAAAATATCTAACATGGTTTGACTATTCTACAAAACAATTTCTCCAAAATTCATTCCATAATTCAGATTTTTGTATAATAAAGTTTTCTTGTTCTTCAAGAACTGGGATAACTATTAGATTAAAATGCAAAATTAACCTGCACAGATTATTTTTTGCTCATATTGGTGTACTGCACTAGTACCAAAAATGACCGATAGAGGGATGGGGATTTTGGTACAGAGCCCACTTTCTGGTGCTTCTTGCAGGGTGGGAACTTTATTGTACTTACATAATCATGAAATGCTTTTGCTTCACTACTGTGATCACATGTATCTCTTCTTTCTGGGGCTGCGCAGTATAAATCCCAAAATACACTGGAAGGGAAAATAATGGGGATGCTCAATAAACGGAATAACCTACAAAACACTGTACTCGATACAGTAATATCTCTAAACTTTCTGCTGTACAGTAACACATGTAAAATTTAATATTGTTTCAGCTGATTTCATTGTGATTACACATGAAGTAAAACCCAACAGTTTAACCAATTGTCTCAAACTAGGCCATTATATTTATAGTCATATTAAATTTTTCAATAAATTTATAGTATACTAATCATCAGATAACGTTTGTAATAGACAATAACTTTATTTGAGCCAATGTTAACATAATCTAATGTAGTAGATTTATTCCCTGTCTGAAATATTTAGGTCCCTATGGTCAACTTACCACCACCAAGAATGTAGAAACCCAGGTGGTTCCCCCAATGTTATGTTCTTTTCCCACCTTATCTATAAGTAAGAGAAAAATGCAACATATCATAATTGTAACACCAGATTAACCGAGTGTCTTCAAATCAATTCATCAAATAGAGGGCATCTAAAAAACTTTGAAAAAATTCTGCATCATAAACTAAAGGAGATGCCTGTGTAATGGTCATATATTCAAATAATATCTGTCTATATAATTTCATTGGATACATATTGATTGACTAAAATAATCTCAGTGCCACAATGTCAGGTCTTATAATTTTGCATTGTTAACATTGTGTATATTTCTGTGTGTATTTGGCTTACAGTATGGGGCTCCAATGGGGATTTTTAAATTGTGACAATAAATTCTTAGATTTGTAACTTTGACCGTTTATAGTATATTTTACCTCCGATAAAAATGTCTGTGCTGATTTCTGGGCTCCCACATGTAATAAATATTCGTATACATACAAAGCTAACCTGAAACAAAGGAGAGAACAGCGTTATAACAAATATTGTATAAAATCAGTTTGTGACGATCTGTTTCGAAAATTATGAAAAGTAATTTCCTCAGATTTATATTATCTGGGTGTAAAATGGACAAATAAGCGACATATACAGCAGTATAGGAATATTTAGAAATTTTCTGGTGTGTTAAAAGCGATAAAACACCAGAGATTCGATTAAAACGAGTAGTTAAACATTTTTCGACGCCATTAATGGTGATGTTTGATAACCGGAACAGCCATTTTAAACTTGATTGAATAGGGTATTCCTCACGTTTTTCGCTAGAAAATACAGTTTGTAAGACATCTGAAGAAGTCTAAGATCATATGCTTATAGATTTGAATGTGCTGATTCTAGATATCGCATCAGTTTTCATGCTAAGACTAAATTTCACTTACTTTTCTCGTGCTTGAGCATCTGATGGTACAGTAGATCCTTTCCCTTTGGCGTACATGCTTGCAGCTGAACTGTCATGCACCTGTCAATGCTTCACGGACGACACTGACCTTGTTTCCATAGCGACGTCAGAAAGACCTGTCGAATCTAATTTCATTGGATGATAACGTAATATGGAAAAAAATAAAATATATGATATTGTCTCCAAAATATATATAATTAAAACAATGCCACAATTGTTTTTTGCAATAAAAATAATTTAGTTATTGTTTTCGAATGCAAATGGTTGTTCTTCTAGAGAATGAACTAGCACAGCTCGGGTTGCTTTTTAGTGTGCTAAGTTCTTTGTTTGTTTGATTATTTGCTTGTTTGTTCGTTTGTTTGTTCTATTAATCTATATTTGATTGCTTATTGCCCGGTTGATCATTGTTTACGATATGATTCCTTTAACAACTAGGCAATGATACAGTACAGACATATTCAAGTTTTCAAATTAATTTCTCAAATTGCTTGTTTGAAATGTGTTTGTTTGTTTGATGTTTGTTTAAATGATTGTTTAATGAATGATTAACATGTAAGCTTTTTTTTAAAATCATTTTATTTAAAAAATAACATGTAAGCTTACCATATATAATATACTTGGTTCATGGATCAGTTAATCAGTTTATAGCTTTTGTCATTCGTGATAATAAATTGCAAAACTTTCAAATATCCGCCCCTCCACTTGAAAAAATAGATGGGTTGAGTAATATTTACAATCGTAAAACAACCAATTTGTTATTTTGAAAATAAATCTTCAATAACCCCATCAGTTGATTAGATATCATGGATCTTTTTTGACAAGTTACTTGTATTGGAATGATACAGGACACGTTCAAGACGCGGGTCAAGACGTTGGTTGAAATGATTATTAGACAGTCAAACTCGCACCCTTTGCTTTAGCTAATGCTTGAGAATGTATTCCGGGTTGTATTCCAAGGGACTATATTAAATAATATTTTTGTTATTAACTTTATTGAATCACTATATTTACATAAAATATTTTCCAAGCTGTTAATACTTACATGTAGATGTTTTGATTATGTCCAATGTTTGTCCTTTCTCTTTGGCATTTGTGCGTACACGTAAAAATAATAAGTTTTTAATAATCGCCCAAATTAACTTTTTTTGTCTCATACCGGAGTTTCTCGCGAAAAGCCCCATGGGCCTTTATTTGAAAGAGAGGTGTATGAAAAAGTTTTCCCCTTTTTATAAAGGCCAACACACAATCAGTTTTCCATCTTAATTCTGAAGTGAGAATTTTGGTTATTAGGTTCTCTGAAGGTACATTCAAACATGCATATTTTGTTTGTGAAACCATTCAAACTTTGATACGTGAATAATTAAACAAATTGCTTTTCTTAAATTAAGGAGCAAGAAACAGGTAACGTTTCTTTTTGTTGAATTGTCTATTTACTTGAACCTTACTTTTCACAACATTTGTAGTTTTTGTGTCATATTCAATCTTATAAACAATATCATTAAATCACCTTGCATAGTTTGAAGTCATCTGAGGCATTTAAAGACAGCCAAGTTGTTCTGGAATTCCAGATACATAGGGTAACTTTTAGATGTAGCACAAATGATGAGGAGTATGAGGACACTCTGCATCGGTGGTGTTTTTTGTCCAACAGGGCACAATTTGAAGAATAATGAAATTCGTAACTGCGTTCATGATACTATTCCGTAAGTATGAAGACCATGTGTTAACTTCACGATCTATAATATCCCTCAAAATAAAGCCTGGCACATTGGCGTGGGAAAGCTATTTTCCCTCTTTATTAACGCCCATCCCCATGACCCCCCTCGGGTGCAAAATAAACGCCCAGCAGTGGGCGTAATAGCGAGAAACAGTAGTCCAAGCTCACTAGTGTGTGTTATGTACCCCAGTATGTATTGGCAATTAATAACTGGACATTATACAAAATAATGTAACCTCTTCAGCATTGTAAAACTTACATATATCTGTTGTTGCATTATTTAAGAGAGAATCAGATCTAGCGAGCAAGCTAAACAAAAAATGATAAATCAAATCTTAGAATATTTTTGGCTCATATACCTCATGTCAATTTTCTAAAAAAAATCCAAATGCATACTTTTATTTAGGAAAACTAAGAAAATCACAATAGTTTACTCGTATTATTTTTCTACTATTGTGGTTACATTTTATTATTTGGGTGAATTTGAACCTTTTCAGCCCCAATTTTTGCCCTTTGAATTCTTAATAACATGATAGCACCAATTCCCAACATATCGTACCTTGTAGGAGATATTGTATTTGGGATTTTAAGGAATAGATTGGTAGAGCAGTCATTTTGATCGCATATCTGTCACCTAAATCTGATTCTGCCTTTAGATACACCCGATTTCAACATATGTGGAGTATCTTTCATTGTATATAATATATATGATTATTAACATATAGGGTTTGGGCCGATATAAAGATGGCAGCTGCGGTATAATCCCATCGCGTTTCTCTTCGAGAAGTGTAAATTACGACGAAGTATTTAGATTGAAAACCTTATTTCTATCGACATTTAGCCTATGATTCATAAAGGAGTATCTTTGGTATCGTGCGATATGTACCTACCATTGAACGTCAAAATATTAATGTACATGACTGTTCTCGCCATCAGAGAATGTCTCAGTCACTGAACGTTTCGGGTGCTTACCGTAGAAAAGACCACCGACCAGTCACTCTCCACAGTTGGGTACACGTTGACGGCTGTCTTTTACATTAAAATGAATAGATGCAAAATTAGAAGAGGAAAACAAACTAAAAAAGGAATCCAATGACTATAGTACCTTTACAAGATCGTGATTAGACGGCGAAAATATGTTTTAACCATTTTAGTCACGATGAAAAAAGCACATGAAAAAACCAACATCATCGTCAATTCAATTTCATTCTTGCTAGTCATTTTATTATGAAAATTACAAAAAAACTGATTTCTCAGTTGTTAAACGTCAATCTGGTAAAACCTACATTCAATATGACAAAAATAGCTTTCCAATGATTAGTCACGTTTAATCCTGACAAGAAAACGCACGTACATTACATCGTGTTCAGTACTCCGGGGTTCAGTATTCACTATTCAGTACCCGGGATTCAGTATGACAATATATCATTTGTGTTAGAAATACGCAATTTTCATGAGATATGGCCTACGTCACTGGTGATCCACTCGATTACGCTGGTTACCAAAACGAACCGTTTTGGTAACAAAATGTCGGAACATCCGGAAGGTACGATGTTCTCGTTTCCTTATTTTACACGTTGTAGGCAGAATTCCCACGACATTTTTAAACACAAACGTGTAATAGTATTATATGTTTAAGAAATTGTACATATTTGCGAACAAATAGTTCAGAAGACAACAGAATCGTCGATTTACTTCCTCACTTAAGTTACATAAACGGTTTGGGTTAAAAGTGCAGATCTTAACTGTTTTTCGAAAAACCGTTTATGTAACTTAAGTGAGGAAGTAAATCGACGATTCTGTTGTCCTCTGAGCTATTTTTTCGCAAACATGTACATTTTCTAAAACATATGATACTGATGCACGTTGTGAGAAAAAACGTCGTGGGGATTCCACCTACAACGCGTGAAATAAGGAAAAAATAAAAATCGTGCCTTCGACGTTCCGACATTTTGTTACCAAAACGGTTCGTTTTGGTAACCAGCGTAATCGAGTAGATCGCCAGTGTACGTTGAATTTCAGTAAAAAAGTAGGATAGATTCCCTCCATATCCAGCAATCGTAATGTTAAATCGGACATCACCTTATCTCCTAACTGGTACTATTACTGAGATTTCGTATCAACACTTTAGTCTACTAAATTATTGTTTAAAACTCATATATGTGAGCGTTAATGCAGGGGCATTTCATACAGCCTATAAACACCGCCCTTTCATTAAATGTGTTTTCTGGTTTCCTTAATTTCGCCAATTTCTTAAGAAATTGGTGGATAATTTGAAGATTATATGATCAGACACATAAATATGGCATATACCACATAAGTTTCTCATATTTAGTTGTTGTTTTTTAGTTGCTGTTTTTTGTTGAACCATATATTACGTACATGGATAACGTATTTTATTTACAAGTAGGCTGCATCTTGTATTAGACCAACATAGCATCAAGTTTCACTAGAGCTGCTAAGAACACTTCTTATCAGATGTGTTGACAGCTCTCCTGATAAAGAAAGTGACCGGAGATTTCTGGATTTGCAGTAGAAACAATAGTTGGCAGGTCAGGAACCTAAGCGTTTGCTTGCCTTTTGTTTTAATCATTTTAATTGATTTGAAAAGAACAAAATGGGTAAAAACGTTGCCTACGATTGACATAGAAGGCGACAAATATGCTCGATCTTTTACCCATTTTCCTCAAACCCTGTTTTGATGCTACATGTGGAAAAGGCAACGACCGGTCGGTGGTTGGTGACTCACTATGTCATGACACACCGCGTTCTTGGATATAGAAAAGAAAGTGTAGTTTTTAAGGTTACAGTTGTATCTTCTTGCAATGGCATTGGAAATCATGTAAAGGGAACATGCCGTTTTTCTTGGGAATTAAACATTTCTGAAAACATTCAAAAGATTCCAATATTTTCGCACTCAGCCGTGTTCTTGAGACTGAGTTATTTGGCATTATTATTTTGAAGACAAATTAGTAGCGACATTATAATAATGAGGGGGGGGGGTAAACCGAAATATCACTATTTTTATAGTCATTAAAAGTAATTGTAGATGTACATCCTATGACTACAATGATCCTATCACTTTGTCGTGTACTCCGTACCAACATTAATGTTCTAGTGACAAACATTAGTGCACATAGTTCCCTACCTGCCCCTCCCCTAAGATTAATTCAATATTCGTGTAAAACGTTGTAGGCCACTCTCTCCGTCAACTCGAATAGGTCACATTTAATATCCCAACCTAAAGTTAGCTAAATTCAAATTCAAATTTCGCGGCAAAACTTTTAGCCAATCAGATTTAAGTTTCAAACGTTATCCTGCAGCGAATTTCCTTTTCCTGTTAACTTTTCAGGTGAGTTATTTTACATTCTTTAGAACTTTTCATATGTTGGCGGGTCTGAAAAGGGTGAAGGATGATGTAGTATTTTTCCCCTTGTGAAGGTTTAGATTAAGAATTCACACAAGGAAGTGCCAAAGGTGTACATTTATTGAAAATGAAAGAACTTTTTCAGAGAGGAAAGATCAATTTATACTTTTCACAATCACGTCTCGGTCACATTCAGCACCATCTATCATCCTTAGTATTAGACTGAAAGTCCAGTGTGGGTCTTAGGATCTTTCTGTCACTTGAACTGGCAATCGACTTGTGTTTTCACACTCGCCAATGAAGAATTACACTGGCCACAGTGTTGCCACTGATGACAAATTATATTTATACAGTGCTCACCATAAAGAATTACAAAAGCTATGGAAATTACATGCTGTCGCACATGTAATAAATTCTTACCTCGGTGTATTCAGTGCTCTATTTTCTCCGTCCTAGTAAGTCCAGATATAGTGGAATTCGTGTCCATAATGACAAATAAGAACTTTGAAGTGGAATTCACATGTTAATGCCTACTCTTCGAATGTTGAGGTGATTTTGGAGCTGGATTACGCGGCAATGTGGATTGGCTCCCAGAATGCAACATGACACGTGTCAGCTTTCAAAATGCCATTCCGCCATCTTGAAATCTGTCACAAGTAAATAAGGTTACCTGTTGTTGCATTCTGGGAGTCAATCCTCCTTGGATCACAAACATGGCGATTCATGAAAACATTCGTTCGATTTGCTTGGTAGGGATTTATCCATCATTTGCAGCTATGATGCTTTGGATTCATTTATTGTGCTACTTAGAGTGAACTGAATGGCTCGATTAGTGAAGAGATTTATTTAAAAGTGAAAAGTATAACATGCTTGTCAACTTCAATAAAATAATCATTGGATTACTCAAGTCTCTTGCAAGAAATTCAAAAAATACTTCTCAAGAGGGTCTGGTCATTTACGTTGAACAAAAATCTTAATATTTTAAATCAGCAGATTTTTCATAATTTTCACAATTAATAATGTAGTCCTTATCTTGGCATATATTATATTGTTAATTTTAACAGTAATGTTTTAAAACAACCTATTCTTGGCAAAACAGAAGTATTTAAAGATGGAGGAAGATAAGTGCAGTCATGCAACTTCTCTGGTTTCAGTATACATGTAGTAACTATATATGAGCCAGGCAACAGGAAAAGGGTTCTTATCATAGATTTTTCAATATTTTGATTTTTTGTTTATCTTAAAAAATCACAAAAATACCTTTCAAATGAGCCATGACTTATGTCTTAACGATTTTTCCTTGCATATATAGACCAAAAAGTCGGATTTTATTTTAGCACATTTTCCTCTTAATTTTGGGCACATTTTTGGCTCTGTAGCACAATTTAAATTTTTGTGATAAGACTGGTTTTCCTATGGCCAGGCTCATATAATGAAATGTTACATGTCACAGACGCTGATGGTGAATGACCAACAATGTCAAAGTATGACATAAATTTCACTGCATGAAGCTGAAAATAGAACAGATAAATAAAATAACTGAATAATTAATAGGGATAGAAAGTGTCCAGTATTTTCGTCTGGTACAACTGGAAATACTGGACGCAGACCTCCATTTTTGATGAGAGAAAGGTAGGTGTAATTTTACTCGGTAGCCTGTGATCGTTTTACAGTGTGTCCTTACCTAAACACACGGTACTAACTTCGACCGTTAATTTGAATTTTTGACCTACCGGATGTTTGAAAATCAAGGATTACGAGTCTCATACTGCACCGTTTTTCTTTAAACTTGTTCCATTCAAAGCATAACAAAAATTCCTTTCTGTTGGTACATTATTCTCTTAAACAGAGTCCCTACTTCCAGCGGCATTTTGGTCCCCAGCTGTAGGAAGGCCTTCTAAAAGCTGGGGACCAAAACGCTGCTAGAACGAGGGACTCTTTACAATAAAGTAATGCACCGACAGAAAGGCAATTTTTTTTTGCTTTTAATGGTATAAGTTTGAAGAAAAACGGTGCAGTATGAGACTCATGATCTTTGATTTTCGAGCATCTGGTAGGTCAAAAATTCAAATTAACGGTCGAAGTTAGTACCGCGTGCTAAAACAGGATCATTAGATTCCCTGTACATTGGGGAACATCCAATTCTTATTACAGCTATCCATCTATCTGCAATGTGCACATTACAAAAAATCTAGATAAATGACTGTCCTTCTATAAGAATTGTGTCTTCCTCAATGTACTGGGAATCTGATGAGCCTGTTTCTAGGTAAGGAAACACTGTAAAACGATCACAGGCTACCGAGTAAAATCACAAACTACCTCTCTCTGGATCAACAATGGAGGTCTGCGTGCAGTATCTCAGTTTGTAACAGACGAAAACAATGGATGCGTTTCTACCCCCTGATACATCCCAGGTGAAGATAAGATAATTTACATAATGTCAACCACATATTCAATAAGCAATAGGTGTTTAACTTTAAGCAACATGCAGGGTGACATAAAAAATGCTACCCATTAATTTTTCTCAATAATTAGGAATTATCATCATTTTTTTTTGTAGATAGAGTGTATGCTTTCATAGCATCAACAACTTTGCGATTTAGAGATATCACGTTTTCTGTCCAGGTATGCTCTCGACGAAATTGTCAAAAAATGTTCAAAAAAACAATTTTCTGAAATTGGGATTTCTGTCCAATCTTTCTTCCATTGAAAACTCTCTATCTACGCATAAAACATCATGGGGATTCCTTAATTATTTAGAAACTTATTCCAAAATTAGTTGGTGGCATTTTTTATGTCACCCTGTATGTTTCCATTTCAAGGAATCATGGGACTTCACATATAGCCACATTCTTAGAGTTTAGATATTTTCTCAATAAATAATTTTATTTTAAATAGTGATCTGACCCTTGTATTGAAAATAAAAATACCAGATGGTAGGCTATAATATGAGAATTACACTGCACTCAGTTGAAAATCTATCAATCAATCTGTCATTCCATCTGTTTAAATTTTTTCTGTAATTTCCACATTATCAATTTAAGAGGCTTCTCCTACAGGAGACAATGGGAGACAAGGGGATAACGATGTGGCTATTGAAATGTAGCCTAAAATGTGAAGTTTGCTCAATTGACTTGAACCTGTGTGGCATGCTCTATAGCTATAGTAAACCAAAAATACTAGCGTCAGATGTTCTGAAGAAAATATATAACTTTCCATAAAGATATGATTATTGTGCTGAATAAGTATGCATAAAGGCATGTACATGTATTAGCAATGGCATTGTTGGAGATGCATTAGCATTGTGTTAGTTTGGTCATATTAGCTCAGTAGTTGCAATCAAGTATTAGTCTGTACTTAAAGACTTATTTGTCATGTTTTGATACAATTATCAATAACAGTCATATAATTGTAAAAAGGGCATCAAAAGATTATTGTTTCTTACTTCCCACCCTTTTTCAAAAGTTGAGGCATTTCAAAGTTATCCATTACACTTAAGGTAATTGACACTGCCAGCCTCTTTTTAGGATATTCACCCATTACATTGTACTACTGAAATCTTACATTCACCAGAATTGTAGAACAAATCTCCTCTAATCCTGCATATAAATAGGAAATGCCATAATGGTTGAAATTGAAACGAATAAAGGATAGTTTAACATATAAATAAATATTAAAAGTAAATCAGCTTTGACTTATAATGGAAGGACTCATAATTTGAGATTTGGGAATTTTATTTCTAATTTATTTCACCAAACCTTTGTTGATTCTGCTAATATGTTCTTCAGCATTTAGAATATCACATTATCAGAAATATGTTAAGCTTTCCATTCAGCTTAGTGTAAGACTATAAAAGTGATGATCTGAGCATTTTGATAGGTGTATATCAAGTTACATGTTAACCGTTCTATACAAAACCCTGTAAACAATTTTTATTTATGATGGCAAGTCATACTTGACACAATATCGGCATTTTAAATAGATTTTCTTTTCTTTAAAAAAGACCTTATATTTTTTTTCACTTACAGTTGTAAAATCTATATTATTTGTCATGATATTCATGACTTAATTTTTTGCACAAAAATGAGACCAGTGCCAATTTAACTTAAATACTATAGATGTCCTCAGAATGATCGGTCAATTGATCAACTTAAATTAAATAGAACTGTTTGATATCAAGTATTGTTTTGTTTGTGTAAATACAGAACTAACGTACAATCCCATTCTGTATAACACCAAGGCGAGGATGACATATTGCACTTAAAAGGACTCTTTAAAGAGAAAAGATCTGAGGTAAAGTTAGTGTTCATTTCGAGAGAGTTTATATGGTCATGGTGACATATGTTGAAGAAATTACTCAGGTCGAAGTGCCTATTTAATATTGAATTAATAAGTTATAATACCCTCATATAACTGTACAGGATTTAACAGGTGAAACACACTGAAGGTAGGACTTGTGTTACACTTAAAGTTTGGATATTAAGATTCTAAGATTCCAACAGGCTCAGTAATAGCTATCTCTGAAGTGATGGTTATAAGGTAGGGAGTAACATTACATGTCACAGTGCCTTGGTGTAACATACAGATGAAAAAAGTAAGGAAGGTACATATAATGTGTGAGAGTATTTCATTATATATTATACATATATTGATGATTTATGAAGTGTGATTATTCGACTAAAAGTATCCATGTTTTCTAAACATTTTCTGAATTCACAATATTGTGAAAATTTGAATTTAGCATAAGAAATTTATTAATAGAACTAACATTTAAAATTAGTCTTCTGATGATAAATGGCAGTCTTAAACTACTTAGTTTGATTTAAATAGTTGAATGATTATTATTTATTATTTTATTCAAAGGAGAGTGAAAACATATAATTATTCCAAAGTTCAACAACTTCAGCTTGATGTACAAAGATGATTCAATAATGAATTTACATTTATTTATTTGATTGGCATAATTTGTTATAATTTCACCCCTGGCCAACAACTGATATGGCCTTGTATGAGTTTATGGTAATGTTATTGATATATAGAATGAATTGATGGTCAATATTTAACATCTTTATGAAGACTCGTACATTCTATATCCTCATGTAATATGTATAAGACCAGGCTCAAATGTTGAATGAAAAATAGTATTTTATTTTAGACTGATATAAGTTAAAGGTCAGTCATTGTTTGTTCAAGGCTAATTGTGTGATTGTCTCACAACCCATCACAATACTAGGTTGTCTAGATACATTTTCTAGGATGTGTCAACACATAATCGTGAATTGCTTCAACAGAGTACCTCATGAAGGGCTAGCCTACTATACTCTATGTTGGAAAACAATTTGATATCATTACTCATTATTATGGATGAATCAAAAAATGAGCCAACATTTCAAAAGAGGACCACCTCTATCAATATCCATATCTTTTTTGTTTCAAACTTTAAATACTTGTATAGATGGAAATCTTTTTCAATATCCTCATGCAATAGTTCCATATGCACTTCCACTGTAATAACCCAGTCTGACTGGCTAACCCTTATATGAGATATCTCTATTATATTAGTTAATTCAATTAAAAAAGCGTGCAGGGGTGAATGAGCGAGAAATAGAAATATCAATTCCATACTATAGATATTTATCAATATGAAACAAGAATTACTTAATACTAACTTTTAAGGGAAAATATATTAAATATTTACAAACTGGGTTAGTTTATATATGGGTTAACCCAAAATAGATCATTGAGCAGTCAAAACTCTCAGACTGATGAATCGAAGCTGGATGAACAAATTACAGTATTGTGGTAGAATATATATGAAGTTAGAGGTTATTGTCTGTCTGACGGACTAACTGCAAATTAGTATGTAATCATGCTTTATGTTATTAGAAATATTGATGTATGGTGTATTTACATGTATATATCAATTGGTATGTTAGAATTTATTTCAAGATCTATCGTCTCCTGCGGGAGACAATGGGATATACATGTGTTACTTTTGTCATCTCATTGTAGTGTCTCCAGATAACATATAAATGAAAACAAACTTACTATTAGTCTAATGTCATAATATTAATGTTGGTTAATCTTTATGCTTTCAGGTAAAATTAGCAGCTCGCAGAATCCTCCAGATGTCACGGTGTAGTATAACCAACGATGAATTGCTATTATCCTCATAAGGAGGATGATACTAAGAATCTAAAGCATACACAATATCACCTGTAATGTCACACTCTGAAGATGCGTATAGAATGAATTATGGACATCATAATTTTGGGATCAGTTTTTTCATGAGACATTGAAAAATCTTTCCCTTATCTTTATCTTCTCAGGATATTACGTTTTTGTGATGTTATGGATATGACATTTACTTCATAATGATTTCATGAGTATATTTCATAATATGAATGCGCTGCAGACTGTTTGATCCCAGGGAATAACAGATCAGGATATATTGAGCAATCCAGGACTTGAACAGAGTAAGGCATTGTAGCTGTATGTATTGTAGGCCTGGTGTGGCTGATGGAAAGCTACAGCTGTTTCAGTACAGAACCCTGTAAAGGAAGAACACAAGAACAAATTTTGACAGCATATAATAAATACTATGGATACTTGAAGTACAGTAGCTGAATGCTCCCAAGAAACTCCAAGAATCCCTTTACCAGATATTGCCAAAGTAACTATTACTTTTCGACAGCAGTTCACTAAACATGGAGTGAAAATACTCTTGGAGAAAACCTTAGCTGAACTACATAATCAAATTTCTATTATAAAATATGAATAACTAGAAAGATGTCAGAAGACAACCAAGCGCCTGGTATGTCAGGCGTTGACAAGAACACAACCTATGAGAGAAAGGACAATCATCAGTCAAGGACTCAGAGCTTTGCTGAAGCACTTGATACGGCTCTGAATGGCTTAGCTGATATGGATGAACGATCTAAGACACTGCCTCTTCCAGACAAAGCCACAGAGAAGCATAAATTTGCAAATGCAATTGCAAAACAGAATGTTATTATTGGCTCAGGTATGTGTAATTTTATTCTTTAATCTTCTTCCTATCGTGAATTGTATCGTTGCATAACATTTACATGTTTTTTTAATATGGCATAGTATTTTTCATTTTTCCACCTCATACTCATCAAGATGGTAATAAACTGGCAGCACAATTCTGAAATTGAAGCAAGGCAGGGGTATGCTAAAAGAACCCCAGAGATGTAGTCAAAACATTAAATGTATAGGCACAAGGTATGATAATGAATTTCTGCATATCACCATTGAATATTGCCTAATAAAAAACACAGATACATCTGAACAACATTGTAGGAGGGAGTCTTCTGTAAGAAGGTGTCAAAAGCTGAAATGTTCATCATTTGTTCATGTTAAGTAAATCATAAGCATTTCACATGTTGAAAACACACAACACAGAGAGTAGAGACAATCTTTTTACGAGTGCTGACATTATGTTGATGAATGGAAGCCATCAACGATAAAAGCTACATAACTGCATTCTTTGTAGATTCAAACCATCCATTTCTTCCAAATCATAAAAGGAATTCTGTATTACATTATTACTTGAAGTTTGGATGAGGGGAAGAGGGGATTACAGGACTGAGGATATGGGTTCAAAAATACAATAGAGATGGGAGTAAGATTGAAGCAAAAACAATGTTAGAGACTATTTTTGAAACAATTTACCTATTGCTATGAAAGCCACGTGAAATCTCCTGTTTGAGAACCCCTGTTCTAGCCTTGTGGGATTGATTTTGGATATGCCTAATAACAAAGTTCTACTGGTTGGGGTTTAATCAACAAATGTTCTGAGAAAATGACGATTTTAGCAAGGGTAGATATTGCGCCATTGACTTAAGATGGGAATATTTTCATATCCCTAGTATGTTATCATAGAGATATCATGGAATCCTTAATTATTATCTCAGAAGAACACTGGTTGATCGAGTCTCAACCAGTTGATTTATGTTACTGGATTTATATGTATTTTCAGTTCTAATATCCTAGATGCTAGATGATTTTATTTTCTTTGAAAATGTGACTTCTAGGTCGTGGAGATTCCCCATAGCCCCTATGTTGGAAAATCACAAAAATGGAAATATCTTTTCTTGTTTTGGGCAGATAAAATTTTCTTATACTGGACATATTTTAATTTGTATAACTATCAGATACATAAGGGTAATATGAAAAGTGAACCACTAAAACTGATAAATATTCAAGTTTAAGGGAATTTTGTAATACCCTGCCATGTTATTTCCCCCGAATCAGCCACCTGGTGGCGAAACTGGTAACTACCTACTCCCATCTGAGTAATTGGTTGGAATGGTGGTTCTTATACACGAGACTTTAGCTGAACTGAGGTCTTTCTGAAAATTTTGTTTGCCCCTAGATCAAGGGGCAAAGCAATCTTATTGGAGAATATAGGGGACGGGAGGGAAAATGCTAGTGAAATAAATTAATAAACAATTGAAATTATAGAAACATCTGCAGTTAAAACAAAATGAATAAGAGCAATATTTTTATTGGGGTTATTATCTATGATTTCCAAGTAAATGATTTCCTGTGTTGCAGATTTGTCTGAGAAAGTAAAAAGATGGGAGATTGTAAAAGTAAGATTGAAGCAAAAATGAAATGAGAGACTATTTTTGAAACAATTTACCTATTGTTATGATTACATATGGTTTAAACATCACCTTTAAATTAGTGGTTACCTATGCTTTGATAGATTAATAGATAACTGCAACTTTAATGCTGGAATCAGCCAAGGCCCAATCAGTTGTAAACTTATATAATAAAAAGAAACAAAAAACAAACTGAACTTATTTAATTAATGCTATCTGTACTATTTACATACTCTTTAAAGGTGCAACAATTAGTGCAGGGGGGCAATTCAACGATCATAGACCAGTGTCAAAATATATTTAAGTTTGGATATTTCATCAAGACTAACATATATTTTATTATCTACAAAGAAACCCCCTGGATGAACGTTACTTCAGCTGATATTCCTCTTGAAACGTGGTGAATCTTAAAAATCTATACGTGGGACTCCCTTTATATAAGCTTTGAACTGAATTTACACTTCTCAATGCTGAAATTGAGAGTTTAAGAAAATAGGTATGTCAAAGAAGATGTGAAGCCAAATTCGAATTTTCTCTCTATAGTCCTTGTTTGCCCCTTTAATTATTACAGGTATTCTCTTTTGATTACCTATACTATTTAAGGTTATGGTTACATAGACTATTAGCCAGGTTAGGGAACAGGGAGGAAACCTTATTTTTATATAGTCTAGACACATATAGACACAACCTCACCATGATAATATTCAAAAATCTATTTGAATTAAAGGTTCATGGATTTGATAAGACTCACCAAGTGTAAGACTTGCCACACATCGTTTCTTTAATTTTGAAAGGATTTCGTAAAAAAACAAAAACAATATTAAAAGAGATCTAATTATGTGCTACCCACTTCTCTCATGTTGATTTTTTAATGATCTCATATATGGCAGTATTTGTGTTTTTACCAAAGTGCCTTTGTTGATAAGATTGGCAAAAGCACCCATTTAAGAAAAAACAGGCCTGAATCCTGGCTTTCAAAAATAAGATCTGTGAGGATGATTGAGAACATTTGTTAAGTTTCTTTAGGAGCCAAATATCATGTACTTCATTATTTCCTGATGATTATGTTGGGGGGGGGGGGGGGGTTGGGTGATAGAAGGCCTTGTAGGCGATATTGTTACTTTAATCATAAATATGATTAAAGAATAAGGGTAGCGGTGGTCTGATCCTTTGTTGAATTAGTTGTATAAAAGGAAATTTTGAACTGCTCCCTTACTTTCAAAGCGAACCAGTGCAAGAAAAGAAGAAATCCACTTTCCTCACCTTGATTATAAAACAGACGCTGACCAGAATGTAAGCTATTTTCAGAACAAAACACAACACATGGAGCTTTTATAAACCAGAGAACATCTTCTCAATCCTTCAACCATCATCACAACATGTTTTATATCTTAGGGTTTGACTGTTATTTCTAATCAAGGTACATTTAAATACTTATTAATTAGAATAGCTGTATATTGAACACCAATACTATAAGTTATTGAATGATTTGAAGTGCAGTACAGAATATATTCTACTCAAGAAATTCTGTATTGGAACGAAACAAAGTCGAGAGCCAATACAGAATATCGAGAGCAGAATTATCCTGTATTGCACTTCACATCATTCTATTGTGTGGTCCTAGGCCAATATATTTTACTTAGGAGATAATCCCTAGAAATATTGTGTATTCTCTGTATTGCTACTGAGATTGTCCCCTCCGTACCAATATTTTCTGTGTTGCTACGGAGATGATCAACGGGGACAATCTCAGTAGCAATACAGATTGGTACAGCACATGAACTGACCAATCAGAAGGCTTCATTTTACAGATCATACGATAAAGATTGATACAGCACAAGAACTGACCAATCAAGGGGCTTCATTTTTCAGAACATACGATAAATGTATATGTTAGTAAACTCTGTGCAAGTATAGTCACCTACTTTGCCAGTCATAAGCCCTCAAAGACTGGTTTCTGTGAATTATAATATGGCTGTGCTGTGCTCTGTGATTGGTTGAATGCAAAACTGTAAAATTATTGTTTGTAGTCAGAGGGTAATATATGAGCTGATTAATTCAGGGTTTTGCCAACAGGTTTAATTAAGATTGTTCGTTCGACTGACATATTATGCGTGTGCCTAAACAAAATCTGTCCAAAGTTTTCTAAACTATTTGGACAAGTTGCACTAAAGAGTTGCACTGAAGAAAAACGTTCATGTTTAACCTCAGCTGACTGAAGATTCTGACAAATAATTAGAAACAAGACATTTCTGTACCTGTAAGCACTTGGTATGATTCACTAAAGATACCATTAATGTCTCTCTCGGTGTATTATTAGTTTCATTAGTATACTTGAAGAGCTAATATATTAATTGATCCATAATCAGATTTTAGTGATAATAGATCAAGTAGGATCTACCTGTTTCGAGAGATTGATTTAGCATCTTTAGAAGAGAGCCGTAATGTTTTTTACACATAGACTTTCATTGTATACCTAATATCATTCTAATATATGAAGAATTATCATAAACTAAGATAAAATGTGTTCATGTTGGATCAATACTATCGATACCATGAAATAACCAATTCCCGGGCGATTGAAAACGAGAACCCTTTACTTCCGGTTTGAGAATTTGAAAAATTATTTCTAAAAATGACCTAGCTTTTGTTAATTCCTAGTGTAATTGGTGGCTTTGCACAACTATTGATAGAATAGAATCCATTGGAATGATCTTGACGAAGAAAGCATCACGTAAAATCTTTGTTTTTAAACCATTCCAAGGCATTCCGAGTCAAAATTGCAAAAAAATTAAAATGCTGAAATTTGTCGGATAGCAAACTGAAATAGTTTCGAACCCCCTCCCTCCCTCTGATCTGACATCGAACTTTATTCAATCAGATCAAGGGCGTTACAATACCCGGGAATTTATCGGTTCGTGCAGTACTTGTTTGTGATAGCGCCATCTGCAGGTCACTGTGGTTATAGCCTACATAATACGGGGTAGGATATCGGGAATTCGGTGCAGTTTCTATCCGTCGATTACGCTATGAATTGAAGCAAGTGTGACCAATCTATCCACTTAAACAATTTGATAATTGATTAAATCGTTAAACAAAATCGATAAACACGTCATACACTTCCCATCTCCTTAGAAATTAGCATGTATTTATCGGATTGTGTTTTCAGACGATGCTCGACCCAGACCACTAGGGAAATCCTTATGCTAATTAGTATGACGTCATATTTTCCTGGGGAATCCTAGATTTCAAAGCCTTGGTCTTTTATTGTGTCAAATTGAAACGTTCTTTTGCAGACAGAAAATTGACAGATTAGCTTTTAACTTTCAGCTTTGATGTTTAAATATTCTATATTTCTTCCAGACTTCTTGCTGAATATCATATAATGTTATAA